GCCATTGTTGTCCTGATTGTTATCAAACAAAAAGCTTTCCAGTAATGTGACAGAGGACATTTTAGATGATATTTAGCCTCCTGAACTGTCAATTCACTGGCGCTAAGCTTTGCACATACTCTTATCTTGTCTTCAATCAGCGGGGGCTGCCTTACTTTCCTGGTAGGGACCAGCCGGTTGAGCAAGTCTTTACTTTATTACACATGCATGCAGGACTAGTAAGCCAGAACCTGTGGGACAAAAGCTACACTGGCTTGTGGGAGACAAAGAACCCCTGTGAGTCAGACTAGAAAGAAATCAGGGCAGACCAGTAGTAAAAAAAAATCCAGACACAGTGTTTGAGGAATAAAAACAGAACGCCTCAGACAGCATTAATATCTCCTCGTTAGTATAGTGGTGAGTATCCCCGCCTGTCACGCGGGAGACCGGGGTTCGATTCCCCGACGGGGAGTGCACAACCTTTTTTTAATTTTATATTTATTTTGCTTCATCACAAAACATATACACAACACCTTTTCACATAATGTAACACACAAACAAACCACACACCATATACAATAAAAGCTTTAAATATACCCCTTTCCTGTTTTTTGCAAACACTTAATGAATCCCACACTTTGAAAGAATCTGCACAATACTAAACTGACCACACATCATGTACATTATTTTTTTTACATACTGTCCAAGACAGTAAAAAGGCTGTATCGATGTGGACACATAACTCCTAGCAGACGAATACATCTAACAAAACACGTGCCCCGTGTGAGGCTCGAACTCACGACCTTCAGATTATGAGACTGACGCGCTGCCTACTGCGCCAACGAGGCCCACAACAGCCCCGCAATGGACGGACAAAAGGCAAAATGTTCCCCGGAACATAAATAATGACAATAAGTATTGATTATCTGTCCATTTCACACACATGCAACTCATACTTTTTCAAAAAAAGAAACATCCATACTACAAACTGTAGCTAAGTATGCGCTGTTTTGTGGCATCTTTGTTGCTGGTACCATGCTAACACACTGCAATTAGTATATATTTATCCATAGCTGAGTTTACTTGACTTTGTCAATGTAAATGATTCAATGTTAACATTTTAATAACAAACAAAAACATTGCAAAAGGTATGTTGCATTGGCCGGGAATCGAACCCGGGCCTCCCGCGTGGCAGGCGAGAATTCTACCACTGAACCACCAATGCTCACATGAGGGACACTGGTGGTCTACATTCAAAAAAACTGGTCTACTGCAAGATAACCATGTGACAACAACTGGCTTGACGTTCAAGAGGCAATACTAAGCAGCAAGATGTGCACAGATCTTTTTGTAGCAGACGCTGGATCCTTTGTTGTCCCATTTCACTGCATGCCACACAGGTAGGATTTAGCCTAACATATGCAAATACACATATTCATTTTCCTAAATGGGATTATGTAATACTAGATAGTTTTATTTTCTATCTATAGACTTGAGCTGGGGTTGTTGAGCGTGTAAATGGATGATGCTATGATTGGGCATGTGTATAACCTCCTCCACCACATCTGGAAGCCTTACCAATTCAGTCCCAAATCAATGAGGGGGCTCAAAGCATTGGGAGCTGAGATTGGTGTCACAGCGAATGCACCCGCGGAAGTGAAAGGGACACGGCGGCCGCCCCATGTGATTTGCATGACAATACATTCCTGGGATCCCCCAACCAGTCAGTCAGAGCTTAGTCCAGTTGCCTTCTGCAGGAGCACCTACCCAACAAATTACCCAGCTCGTAGCTTGAGCGTAGTTGTCTATGGTCACAAATAGTACAATTGGAATGCCAGAAACAAAAACCAGACGGGGGAAAAAAAAAAAAAAAAAAGTTGTGCGCCCAACGTGGGGCTCGAACCCACGACCCTGAGATTAAGAGTCTCATGCTCTACCGACTGAGCTAGCCGGGCTTGTTGCAACATCAGAAACCTTCCAGTTTTATAATGTCTCACAGTGCACTATTTCTATTTTTCACATTTACATATCTGTTTTATTGTTTGGTTGGACTACAACAACAGGCTATCATTGATGTCAGTTACTCAACGCAACCAACTTAACCTAACAGAACCATCGAAGAATGAA